CGCAAAAATAAGGCCACTGGGACGGTACTCAAGATGGCGCAGACAAATCAACTTCCGTTGATACCGAGCCCGAGGAGCGAGGAAATGAAAAATAAGAGAAGTGAAATGCACCCTGTGTGTGAATCGGCAGCACATTCCCTGTGTTGAAAGGGTTTTATGGTTTCGGTTGATATAGCTATGCGTCCCATCACTCCCCCGGATTAGGGAACATCCCGTCTTGACCTGGATTTATTGTCAGTGCAGCCTACTTGAAGATGGAAAGTTCACAAAGTATGGATGTATGTTCAAAGCCTTCGAGATGTAGACGTTGGTGCAATAGAATATTAAACTTTGAAGATGTTTCCGTTCAAATATACAGAAACAAAATGATTCCACTCTTCAGATTGACTGACTCTTTCATCATATATCAGGGATATTAAAGATTGATGTCGTCCAGCATGAGGTCTGGGGATGATGCCCGTTTAAGCTGATTTACGGTTTGATCTTATTTAGGATTATGAGGTTTAAGCTTAAAGCGACCCTGATGGTATACGTTAACCCACGTCAAACAGCAAGAGAGCTGCAGGAATGAGTCCTAAACCAAGAAACGCTTACTATTTTAGCACTTCCTGTTCCCTTGTGCTGAAGTCAATGTGTTTATGGTTGTTAGTCTGAAAGAAGGTCTGTGGTTAACACAAGAGAAGAGATTTTAAAGTGTTGTCCTATGACATAAAATACATCAGTAAATACCCCACTGGTGATTTGAAAAACTGTGGTTTCTAACAAGAGTCTAAATGAGACGAATAAACGCCATCACGCCCAACATTAGCCACCTTTAGCTTAGTGGTGTTAACGTGAAGTCATGTGACCGTGCTGTAGTTCCTTTATAGCCAATGTTAGCCGCCTTTAGCTTAGCTGTGGTGACGCGAAGTCATGTGATCGTGCTGTAGTAACTTTATAGCCCAACGTTAGCCGCCTTTAGCTTAGCGGTGGTGACGTGAAGTCATGTGACCGTGCTGTAGTTCCTTTATAGCCCAACGTTAGCCGCCTTTTTAGTAGAGATGTCCCGATCCGATCACGTGATCGGGGATCGGAGCCGATCACGTGATTTTTAAAAGATCGGAATCGGGAGAAAAAGATCGGGGATCGGGAATCTTTTTTTTTTTTTTAATATATAATTTTTTTTTAAATAATTTTATTTAATGTTACAAAACAAAAATGACCATGTTCACGTCTTAAAGTCATCCTGAGGCCTTAGTTTTGGTTTAAAATTACACAACATCATGTATGTGTTGCTTCTTTTGGGCTTGTTCAGACCTGGTTGCTTATTTCTCTCAAAGCTGGCAACAGAGTGGGCGCAGTGTCTAATAGTAGCAGTAAGCTAACGAGAGGCTACGTTCAGCTGGTGACTCGGGAGTCGGGACGGAGAAAATGTCAGCAGTTTGGAAGTATTATAAAATTGAAGGCAGTGTACACTGCCTTCGCTATATCCATGTTGGATAGAATGGATAGTTGGGTACTGTCATTTAAATAAAAAAATAACCTTAAGGGACAACTTGAATGCTTTTTTTCTCTTAATGCATTGCATAAAGATCGGATCGGGAAAAATCGCTATCGGCAGATTGTCAAAATCAAATGATCGGAATCGGATCGGGAGCAAAAAAAGGTGATCGGGACATCCCTACTTTTTAGCTTAGCGGTGGTGAAGTGAAGTCATGTGACCGACCGTGCTGTAGTTCCTTTCTAGCCCAATGTTGGCCGCCTTTAGCTTAGCGGTGGTGACGTGAAGTCATGTGACCGTGCTGTAGTTCCTTTATAATAATAATAGCTTGGATTTATATAGCGCCTTTCAAGGGACCCAAGGTCGCTTTACAAGTAATAGGGCAAAAACAAACATAACAAAACAAAAGTCAGACAGACAAAACAACAGATCGATTTAGGGGCCGAAAGCCTTGGCAAACAGATGGGTCTTGAGGGCCCTTTTGAAGGCGTCAAGTGTGGGTATGTTGTGAATCTCCGCAGGGAGAGCGTTCCAGAGGGTGGGGGCTGCCACACTGAAGGCTCTGTCCCCGAAGGTTTGCAGTTTGGTGCGGGGGCTGGTAAGCAGGCCAGAGTCTGAGGACCGCAGGTTCGGGGGTGGGGCATGTGGGTAAAGGATGTCCGATAGGTAATGGGGGGCAAGGGCATGGAGGGACTTGTAGGTAAGGAGGAGGACTTTGTAGGATATGCGGGACTTGACCGGCAACCAGTGTAGGTGGATGAGGGTGGGAGTGATGTGCTGCCACGGCTTTGTGTGCGTGAGTACCCTAGCAGCACAGTTTTGGACATACTGGAGCCTGTCCAGGGTTTTGTTGGGAACCCCGAACAGGACACCATTGCAATAGTCCAAGCGGGTGGTGACAAATGCATGCACTAGGGTTTCGGCAACCGACTCCGAGAGTGACGGTCGGAGTCTGGCAATGTTCCTTAGGTGGTAAAAGGCCGATTTGGTCACAGATTTGACGTGGGAATGGAAGGAAAGGATGGAGTCGAGGATGACACCCAGGTTGCGGGCTTCAGGAGATGGGGAGATGGAGTAGCCGTCGACCTCGAGGACGAAGTCACCAACCTTCTGGAGCAGGGCCTTGGGTGCCACAACCATGAGCTCTGTTTTATTGCTGTTCAGCTTAAGATAGTTGGAAGACATCCATGTTTTGATGTCATGCAGGCAGTTGATGAGAGACTGAGGGGGGAGCTGGGAGGATGGAGTGGTGCTGAGATACAGTTGGCTATCATCAGCGTAGCAGTGGAAATTGAGTCCATGATGTCGGATGATCTGGCCGAGGGGGAGCATGTAAATGGTGAACAGGAGGGGGCCAAGCACAGAGCCCTGGGGTACACCGTGGTGGACTGGGGCCGGGGATGAGTTTGAGCCACTGATGGAGACAAACTGTTTCCTGTTGTGGAGGTAGGATGTCAACCAGGACAGCGCTGTGCCAGTGATACCTAGAAGCTCTGAGAGGCGGGTGAGGAGGATGTTGTGAGAGATGTTGTCAAATGCTGCAGAGAGGTCCAGCAGGATGAGGATGCTGAGGCGGCCAGAGTCAGCAGCAATGAGGAGATCGTTGGTGATCTTGATGAGGGCGGTCTCAGTGCTGTGTTGCTGTCTGAAGCCGGATTGGAAGGGCTCATAGAGCTCATGGTTGGACATGTACAGATGGAGTTGGCCGGCGACCACTCTTTCCAGAGTTTTGCTGAGGAAGGGAAGGTTGGAGATCGGCCGGTGGTTCTGGAGGTCGTCGGGGTCCAGGCCAGGTTTTTTGAGTATGGCGGTGACTGAGGCCATTTTGAAGCTGGTGGGGACTATACCAGGAGCCAGAGAAGCGTTGATGATGACCACCATGTAGGGACGGAGGGTGGGTAGGCAGTCCTTGACCAGGGCTGTGGGCATGGGGTCCAGGGAGCAGGTGGAGGTCTTGGCCGAGCTGACCAGTTTGGCCACTTGGAGAGCATCCACAGGGGAGGAGAGGTTGGAGTGGGAGAGGCGCGGCGCTTGGGGTGCGTTACCAGGTGGCTGAGGTGCAGGTAGGGGGGGGGAAGGGCCAGTCACCAGGAGCTGCTGATGGATGGTCTCGACTTTCGCCTGGAAGAAGTAGAGGAATTTGGAGCACAGATCGGGAGCCCCTGAGGGCTGGGGGGCGTCAGGGGGCCGTAGTAGGCGGATGATGGTGGAGAACAGTCTTCTGGGGTTGCTTTGCTGAGCACCAATGAGACGGGAGTAGTAGTGAGTCTTGGCATGGGAGAGAGCTTCCTTATACGTTTTGATATGGTCACGAAAGGCCAGGAGGTGGACTGTGAGGCCAGTTTTTTTGGAGAGCCTCTCCAGCTGGCGACCAGAGGCCTTCAAACGGCGGAGTTCGTTATAGTTATAGCCCAACATTAGCCGCCTTTAGCTTAGCGGTGGTGACGTGAAGTCATGTGACCGTGCTGTAGTTCCTTTATAGCCCAACGTTAGCCGCCTTTAGCTTAGCGGTGGTGACGTGAAGTCATGTGACCGTGCTGTAGTTCCTTTATAGCCCAACGTTAGCCGCCTTTAGCTTAGCGGTGGTGACGTGAAGTCATGTGACCGTGCTGTAGTTCCTTTATAGCCCAACGTTAGCCGCCTTTAGCTTAGCGGTGGTGACGTGAAGTCATGTGACCGTGCTGTAGTTCCTTTATAGCCCAACATTAGCCGCCTTTAGCTTAGCGGTGGTGACGTGAAGTCATGTGACCGTGCTGTAGTTCCTTTATAGTCCAACATTAGCTTTTTACTTCTGGAGGTCGCAACACAATACAGCCTCTATTCAAATGTAATACTAATAACCGTTGTTCATAAATGTGTACTTAATATATTGTGCTTTACTCCTTGTTTCATGTGTTCACAATTCCGCTGTCTCTTTTAATTCAATGCCAATCACAAAAAATAGGAAAGTATGTACTGATGTTGAATTTGACTGATAGAGATGTTGTGGTCATGTACCAAAGTTCAATATTTCCACTCCGCTTCTCTCTGAGTCGAAAGGATTATCCAAATTGCATTTATTGGTTTAATGCTTATGTAGGCCAAAACTGTAAGGGATGAACCATCAGAATACAGTATCATACTAGAGCTCAAGGCTACAACAGACCACATATTTTCAGCATTTTGAATTTAATTTATTCTTCACTCATATCTAAAAAATGTAAGAAAATATTAAAAGTTGTCCATTGTAATTACTCTAACCCTACATTAGGTGAGCCAACAGTCCAAAAGCAAAAAATATTCAATATTATCAAATAAAACAACCAAAAAGTGACGAAACCTTCACATTTGAGTCCCTGGCTGGAACTCAGAAATGTTTGGGTTTTTTTAACAGAAAAATGTCCAAAATCAACTATTAAATAGCTGTTTATTGACCAATCAAACTACTTGTTTTTTCTTTAACAGTTGGTTCACGAGTTCTGATTTAAAGCAGTAATATTGACAGTATTCCTGACCAATATCTTGTTGTTGTTTATTTCAGGCGCGAAACATTCAAACTAGCGAGCTTGCTGCTGTGAAGATCATAAAGTTGGAACCAGGTAAGAGTCTTTCTCTTTATCAGTTTTAATAATAATACAAATTCTGCTTAACAGGGCCTGCAATAGTTTTTTGCTCACAGACCCACTGTTGTTTATATGTTTCTTTTTACAAGTGAATTAATGATCTTAGTTCAAAATCCCCAAAAGCTCCGTTTACATTGTTTGTACAAAGTCTTAGTATACATTTTAACCGTCCAGGAATTCTTTGATATTTACATTGTTACAGCAAAGGTACAGTGCACATAAAAAGGCAAAAGTAAAGAGTAAACTTGCATATTAAATTAAGTCGCATATTAAATTAAGTCGAATCTGAAATGCGTACCGTCACTTGTCACAAAGCGCATTTGCGTACCGACGTACTTGTGAAGCTTTTCCAGAAGGCGGTTAGATCACCGGACGACAGTCGGTCTCCGTGTGCACAGACGGTGCTGCTGTTAACGTCGGTCTGTACAACGGAATTGTCTCCCTCCGCAGCCAGTTGGCGTAGTTTTGGCACAATTCCCCCCCCCCCCCCCCCTTCTGTGCCCTGTGCACACACTGGAGAACTGCGCAAAAACAGCTGATCACAACGTTCACGCTCTGTGGTCACAAAGTACTCCAGCACTAGCATCCCCCCCACGTCGACTTTCCTGAAGTACTCCACTAGCCCCCGTGATACGTTCGCGATACAGAGGGCTTCATCACATAACTTTGAGTGGAGCCAGAAGTTGGAGTACCAACCACTGACTCCAGGTACTCATCGGAGTACCTCACTGAGAACGTTATGTGTCTATAAACACACCATACCTGAAAAGGGGGTTAGAATTTTCTTATTTTCTTATTCGCAGCCAATCATAACAGTATCGTAGGAAAATAAGAGAATCACAAAAACGTACAAAAGAAAAATACTTAAAAACTAAACAAAAAAACAACAACACCAAAACATCACATGTACAAAGAAAATTGCAACACCCTCATCTGAGTCCTACTGGAGTACAAGGGGGAAAGCGGAGCATAATAATAATGGGACCTGCAAATAAAGAACCGACATCACAAATATTTACCATAATACATAAACGTATTCACATTCCGCTTCGTATATTCCCATTTTTCTTAATTTATACAACTTTAACTGAAAATTATGATAAAAGTAATCAAATCATATGCAGATTGGGGTGTTCTCAGATGTTTTGTGTGGTGAAGGAAGGAGGCTGTGGTGCCTGTGTGGGGATGACCTACTGACAGAGTGGAAACAGATTAGTGGGATTACGATGAGCTTTCTACCACCAGAGACCAGACTGAGCTCGGATGATCACCAGAAAGAGTCCCTTTTCTCTTTCACTCTGCGTCTCTGTTTGTGTTGGAGAGGAGGAAGTGTTCGTTTACACCTCAGGTATCATCTCATCCTGTATCTGAGAATTCATTTTGAAATGATTGCTCTGAAATCTCACTTCCTGATGAGTCTGTAGACGTCTTTAACTATTATTTAAATGCTTAGATATATTCTTCTAAGGTATACGAGGAGGGGGATTAGCGTGTGTGAAGCAGAGGATCAGCTGGCTTAGCTCTACAGGGTGTCCGCGGGGTCTTAAAAAGTATTAAGAGTTGATAAATCAATTTAGCGAAAATTAAGGCTATTAAAAAGTATTAAACTACATTTTCCAAGGTATTAAGAAGGTCCACAGCAACGACAACATGAAACACCCTTTAATTGACTGAAACAACATGTCGGGAAACCCCCTCAAGGTGGCCCCATTCATAGCGTGCCATAAAATGCTGCTTCTAATTTTAAGTTTCGTTGCCTTGCTCCGCTCTGTGGGGGGGGGGGGGGGGGGGGTTTATCTGCTGGTGGACTACCTGAGAGATATACAGCAGGAGAACACGCCGTCCACCGCGGAGAATAAACAGAAGGGCAACCATGACAACCATGCTCCGGGGTCTTCTTCGCTGCTTTTGGTGTATTTTGTGGCGGCAGCAGCGCCACTTACAGGCCTGGCATATGTACTACAGCGTTTCCAGCATTTCCAGCGGTCTAGTGTGAACGGACACGTTAATGAATCGAATGCGTGTGAACGGAAGACTTTTTTGCGTATGCGTGTCCTCGTGGGGCCGGGGTCTAAGCCAAACTATATCCGGTCACAGAGATCTGCTATTTTAAAGTAAGGTAAGCATTTAACATATCGACCCTAAATATAGTCTATATTAAGAACGAGAAAAGTCTTAACATATATATCGTTTTTTGTAAACCTATGACAAATGTGTGAGGGTGATGACGTCAGAGCATCGTCCTATGTGCCGGGCTGAGCCCCGGACAGCCCCAGCCCAATTTAACCCCTGGGTATTTGTGAGGGAGCTCCTATATGGCATTACCCCGCTGAAGCTCACCAAAGTTTCATATATTTCATAGTTAAAAGTTGTGTCAATTGTTTTGTTTATTGGTCAAATCCTGGTTTCTGAGGAGTTCTACTGGAATGAAAGAGCACAGAAGCAACAAAGCAGCATAACCCTGACCTTCACAGAGAGGTTGAAGTTCATGTGGAGAGGAGGCTTCAGTAGTCTGTCTGCACTCTGTTTAGTTGTGCTATCTTACAATCAATATAGTAAATGTGAGGTAAAGTGTGTCGCCAATGTAACCGGTTAGAAGTCGCAGAAGCGAAACTGAGGCTCTGTGGTAACATGAAGAGCCGGGCCAAATGATCCGGCTCACTAAAAAGGCCGGAACTCCCATCACTAACGTAAAGAGATAGTATCTATAAAGGGACGGCTCAATTCAAAATTCAAAACTCTCGGGGTGGACGCCCTCTCAGCCCTGGTCTAACGGAAACACTGATTTTGACCCAAACCATTCCATGCTTTATAAACCAGCAGCAGTATTTTGAAACCAGTTCTTTGACACACAGGAAGCCAGTGTAAAGACCTAAGAGCTGGATTGATTTGATCTACTTTCTTAGTGTTACTGAGGACTCGAGCCGCAGCGTTCTGAATTAGCTGCAAGTAAGTGTAATTTGTGAAAACCTGCCGTTCGAAATGATAAAAGAACGAACGTTTAGTAATTAACTAACTCACAAATAAAAAGAAAAGAGGCGTAGTGCATATCTCAGATTTTAAGTGAAGTTAAAATAGTTTGAAGACGTATACCAGCTTAATTGTGTTATATTAAATAATTGTATTTGTATCCCGGTTGCTTTGTCCTTGGCCTGGTTTCCCATAACCAACTTTAAAAACCATTCATATTTATTATATTCCTGTTTACTTAGATTTGTTCAGGATTACCGCAGCCCGGGTCATCCTGTTTTAGCAGGACTCTCCTTTCTTTACCTCCACGTTGAGCCCGAGTCACTCCTCTGGGCCTCAGGTAAACAGCTTTGGGCGGAGGCAGAATGAAACAGGTTAGACGGGAGGAGGAGTGACGGCCGTGTGAAGAAGAGAGAGGAGGGAGTGTAGAAGGCCTCTGGCTGTAGCTTAATCTGATTATCTGCATGGTAAACAACAATTGAAGATCAATTAGCGCTGGTCCTTTTCTGAGAAGGAGAAAATGTATCTTTACTTACCTTTTTCCTCCTCGCTTTACACACTCCTAGAAGTCAGTTATTATAAACACTATCATTCGTCCTCTTTTCATTCCTATGACAAGTCATTTTGTCGTTGAGAATAAGGACCAGCCCCTTGGCAGTTTTTCTTTAGTAGAGTTGTAGCTGCAGGCCGTTTGGGTGTGGAACAACGTCCCAGCATGCAGTAGGGCTGCAGTAATCTAGAAGAAAAATGGGAAATGGATCTACATATAATCTGTAGTTTTCCATAAAGTGGTCACAATGCACACGTGCTCTCTACCTGGGAGCCTTAATGGTTATTTGCAGCATATAACCTTATTGTTATTTTCAATATTTTCTACTTGTATGATAACCAGTGTTGTGCTAGTTACTGAAAACCAATAACTAGTTACCATTACTAGTTACTTCATTTCAAAAGTAACTCAGTTACTTTACTAGTTACTTACACCAAAAAGTAATGCGTTACTGTGAAAAGTAACGTTTTTGTTACTTAGAAAAAGGGCTCCCATTAATGCCCTTATCGCCTTCATTTCAGTACTGTTATTGCATTGGAGAATAATACAATCTGTTGATCAACTTCACATGCATTATATGCAATCTGGATTGCATCGATATTAGCTGGCTTTCCATTTTTGTATATTCTTTCTCCAGGTAGTTGGAAAAAGTTTTCCGTCCCATATGCCGTGTGCCGCCCGGACATGCTATCATGCTAACTAGCTCCCTGAAAGCGGGTGACTCCACTGTAGCAATAGCCTGCATGTGTTCTACAACATACCGTGCAATGGCTTTATCTACTTGTCCCTGGCCAGCAGTCCTTTGGTTAAAATCCAGCCGCTGTTGCTTAGGTGGAGTTGGAGTGGCGTCGGCTGAGTCTCTGTGGTCTTAGCTACTAGCTTCGTCCCAGCATGTTGTTTTTGCAGATGTTTTAAGAGATTTGAATGACTGGTTTGGGCAGTAGATAGGATCTTTGACCCGCCAAGACACAACTTACATTTAACTAAAACGTTCTTTTCTTTGTGCTCGACAAAAGTGAAATAGTGAGAATATCTCCAGGTGGAGAAACTAGACTTGAGCTCCGCCGCCGCCATGATAGTCTTGTTAGTAAACAACACAAACACGCCCACAGCCCGTCTCCGCATGTGACACAGGAAGTATCTAAGTACATTTACTCAAGTACTTAAGTACAGTTCTCATCTCTGTTCGCCTGGCTGTTGACTATATAAAAAAAACTAACGGAGTAACGCACCATGTAGTAACGGTAACTGAGTTACTGAATTTAAAAAGTAATGCGTTAGAGTACTAGTTACTGCCAAAAATAACGGCGTTACAGTAACGCGTTAGTCCCAACACTGATGATAACGGACCCAAATCCATCAGGCTACAAGCTACCTGAAGGCATAGGTAACTCAAATTACGCCGGTTTGTTAAGGAGCAACTTGTCTCTTTACAAATTTAGGCCCCTCTCAATAAAAAATGGATCAAGCCTCTATTCCACAGAGATTATTTATTTGTCGCTAATTTCGTATATTTCATGAAGTGCGCCCCTAGTGTTCAATGCACTGAAAAGCTTCTTTTTATTGATGTTTTTCTAATGGATAGAAACACCTCTGCAGTGATGGTAGAGAATTAGATTTGTTTTAGCATTTTTTGTCGCTACGTTTTATGGAATACGGCCCTGTAGCATTACTGACAATTTATTTTAAGATATTGTATATGACTGTAATGGTAAACCACTGGTATGCAAGGTCTTTTTAGATAGGCTGTAACTTATACTTTTACATTACATTGCATTTAGCTTACAATAAGTGCGTTCGACCAAGAAGATACAAACTTGAAGAAAACGGAATCATAAAGTACATCAGGTTTCATAGAGCTAAAAGATTTCAAGTGCTACTCAACTGGCTTTAGATAAGCCAGCCCTTTATTAGTATATAAGTGCTTTGTTAGTAATTCTATCGCTCGAAGTGGAGTCGAAAGAGATGCATTTTCAGTCTGCGCCGGAAGGTGTGTAAGCTTTCATTCACAACGTTTTAAACTGCTGAACTAGTTTCTGTTTAATTATGTAATTACACCATTTGACTATCAACATATGGCGAGTCACCACTATTAGCGTAAGCCTGTGGCAGTTAACACTAGGGCTGCTCAATTAATAGTATTTTAATCGCAATTACGATGTTGGCTTGCAACGATTATGAAAAAAACATAATCGAAATAAAACAAAAACATTTTTTTTTAATTATACTTAAAGTTCAGGGTAATCAACTGTTAAAAACATACTGTTCACATTTTTCTTTCAATAAATGGATAATCGTTTTTATTAATCGTGATATCAATTATTGACCCAAATAATCGAGATTATGATTTTTGCCATAATCGAGCAGCCCTAGTTAACACAATATAAATTAGCTTAGCAACTTGTGAAGTGATATTTACAGACAGCATGAAGTAAGGCTGAGCTCAATTGAAACAAGAGCACAGAAATGAAGTAAATACCATATTTTCTTTAAGGTCTTTAGGTGGAGGCATTAGGGTGTCAAACTCAAGGCCCTTGGTGGATTTAATTTCGGCCCGCAGGATAATTTCTAATTACTATTAGATCTGGCCCGCCGGTATATTGCACGCACACCTTCACTCCATCCTGAGGGTCTCCTCCGCTCAGAGCCTGAGACCAAACATTGATGACCTTGCACCCAAGATGAGATGCCAAGTATCTGAGCTAGCATCACAGAGCAGCACACTGAGTTTAATGGATGTTTCCTTCTGCACTTTCTCTCTCAGGACAACAGGGCATGTTTGGATTTCTCTCTGAGGGAAATAGTTTTTTGAAGCTGTTGTTGGCCTGTGGAAAAATGTAATCATAAGAAATGACTCTGGAAAAGCTGCAGATAGAGCCATAAGAAATGAATGCAACTGATTATTTAATGTTTAATGTTGTTTTTATTGGCAATAATTGAAGCTTTGTTAGTTCCAGGGTTAATATGTGCAATAAGTTCATTTCAATAAGTTTTGCAATAAACCTTGAACCAGTCCGGCCCTCGACTAGTACCCATTTTTTTTATTTTGGCCCACTGTGTATTTGAGTTTGACGCCCCTGCGTTAGGGAAACACTCATAAGCATTTCACTAGCAATTGTGCCACCAGTAAGAAATTGATTAGTAAACAACAAATTGGAGCATTTATCTCTACCAAGGTATTGATGTAGATTTAATCTTATAGTTAAACTGACTCAATATCCGTCATATCACACCAGCATGAGATTCAATAAGTCCAACTGATGTGTGAAGATGTGTGAATTCACAGAGCAGAAGGAAGCGTTCACAGGAAGTGGCTTCACTCTCAGGCCTCCTCTCACCAACAAGAGATGTGATGTTTTTAAAAAAAATGTTTTAACCAAACTCAGTAATGCCACTGAAAATACCCCTGCTCACATTTCTGTGGCTCCTCGCACCCTTTCTCTCTGTCAACACATGTGGGAAACGTTCGTGATCAACAGTAGTTACCCTTAAATTAAAAACACTCTAATTAAAATACAGTGATATATGTCATTGTGACCTAATTCAAGTGTCATCTTTTCCTTACAGCATGTGTCAAACAAAGACGAATGCAACATTATTTCCATGTTCGTCATCATTAAAGCCTCATCATGAGACACCCACTACTGTACATCTTTCTTATGCAACAGAAAAGCAATACACAAGTAGGGAAATACAGCTTACATTTTACAAATAGAAAATAAGTAGTCAAACTGAAGGATTTAATATCGTTGATTATAATTTTTTGAAAGATATTGTCTGACTTCTGTTGTACTAAATCTGAAGCCATTTGTGATTATTATGACACCGTTACTAGTGATGCAGGTCAGCGTTTCCGCCAGGGGGGCGTCTTGCCGTCATTTGACGCCCTTATTCAGCTCAGGACGCCCTGAACGCGAGGCGAGGGCGTCCAAAAATATTAATAATTCGAGAGAAGATCGAGAGTTTTTATCGCTCGAAGGGGTGGACGCCCTCTCAGCCCTGGTCTGGCGGAAACACTGATGCAGGTACATAGTTGTGTTTTAATGTAGGTAAGACTTCCAATAGTTGCATAATGTCACGAAATACCCCCAATTAGTAGCTGAGGGTAATTTCAAAGCTAACGTTGAAATGTTAATTCTCTGGTTTGTTGTTTATCAGCTGAATGATTTCATACATGTTGGCATTGCAAACACACTTTAGTCCAGACGCTTAGAGGAGAGAGCCTGACCTTTCCCACTGAAAACACCACTGCTCTTTTCTTTTTTTATACAAATGAAATGTTGTTTGTGTAATCAAAGACTCCTCTGTGGTCCAGGATGTATCTGGTGGTTTGCTCCCAGAGTTCAGACGTCTGGAGCTCTGAATCAGAGTAAAGACCAGGTCAACAACCAGCTGGTGTTAGCTGCCAAATCTAACTTTGAACACTATTTTGTGAGACAGTAGATTTTTACAACAGAATGAATCCATTAAAAATACCTTTGTTTACATGTAAGGTAGTAGGGCAAAAGCATCTTTGACGATATGTCAACAAATCTAGCATTTTGGTCTCATTTGACTTTTTTCTAGTCGAGAAGTCCTTTTGCTTTTTTCATGCTGACTTATTTATGACTGATGAGCACATCTCTGGTAAACACAAGATTCAAGTTGGTGCTTTGCATGACTGTACGTCCACACGGCAGCGTGCGTTGAAGCTTGCCGGTAGGCGTGTCTGGCGTGCGACCAACAACCAATCGCATGAATCTCCCGCCCCGGACACACAAGCACGCGGTTTGATTGGCTAGAGCTTGTACTGGCATATGATTTGATTGGCTGGCGCTTCCGTCGACGCTTGAAAAGTTGAACTATTCTCAACTTTCGAAGCGAGCGACGGAACCACAATGCAGTTCGGCAGAGCGTTGCTGCCGTGTGGACGTACCGTGACTCTATGTAGAATAAGAAGTTCTTTAATCAAGTAATACCCTTCAAGATGACTTAAAAGGGTTCCTTAACATCCTTAACAAGTCTTAATAAGCATTGACTTGATTATATCTAAAAAATATATATTTCATTGGTATTCATAAGCCCCAAATCTAATGTATTGAGTCTGGAAAAAAGGTGCTTAGGCATTAGGATTTACTTTCTCACATTTTAACTTAAAATTACAAAATAATTCCTACATCAACTAAAAATAAAACGAACAGATGTTAGCAGATAAGGATAGTGGAATGAAACAACATTTTTATCGTTTGTTTTAAGATAAACGGTCTGCCAGATAGCAACGACCTTGGTAAATGCTTTATGTTGCATTAAACATTTGTGCAACATTGGTGTTTTGTTCCTCAATTTTGACGACTGTACAAATAGTTTTAAATGTAATTCTGATTTGTATTTTAAGAAACTGTAAAAAGTCTTAAATCTCCCTTTACCTAAGCTGAAGGTCTTTGTTGTTGTTTGACTTTTTTTTTTTAAAGAAATTGTTTGTTGACAGTAATCTCACTAAACGTATGTGCAATGTTTTGGCCGAAGATGTGTCCAGTAAATGAGTTTGTTCTGTAGTGAGTCCTTCAATGACAGTCAGTTGATAAAGCGCTGAAGCTGGCACATATCTTATTCTTAACCAGAGGTCCAGCTCTCTGCTCTCTGGCAGCAGCTGGCTTTACATATTTCACTCTTCCCCCTTCCGACTGGTCGGATGTGTTAGTGCTGTTCTGGAAATCAGCCGATACCACATAAACCTTAAAAGTACAAGGTGTTCTCTCTATTGTCATTGGCTGTTCAATAATCCGCTGTATTTACACAGAGATTAAAGCATATGGTCAGAGCGAAGAACCCGTTCTCCGGGTTTCACTTTGGCAAACTAAACGGAAAGATCTTTCTCGGAGTGCTTTTTATCATCAGAGAATATTTGTGTGGTCCAACCTGTAGATTGTATTCATGAAACATAAACCAAATAGTTGTAATTTTAAGGCTATACAACCGTTTTTATGTGGTGTTTATTTCTAAATGTTAAATTGTTCCCTGAGTTAAGTCTCACTCTTTGTCCGTGTGCCTCTGTGATTTCTCTTGTTTCCAGGGGACGACTTTTCCATCATTCAGCAGGAAATCTTCATGGTGAAGGAATGCATGCACCACAATATTGTGGCCTACTTCGGCAGCTACCTCTGGTAAGAGCCAGTTGGAAATACTTCTGCTTTGTCATTTTACTCTGTGTTTTCTCCTCTCTCACAGCCAGCGACCGTGTGAGGTTCATACGCTTCTGTCAAAAGGATTTGAAGCCGCCGCTGCCTGAAACTCACATGATGTTTAATTACTGAGTCACACCTGAGTGTGAAAGTGTGACTCAGAGCTCAAACTGGCCTTCAGAGCCAGGATGTAGCTCCAGAGGTGGAAGAAGTACTCGGATCTTGTACTTGAGTCAAAGTAGAAGTACTCAGATCTTGTACTTGAGTCAAAGTAGAAGTACTCAGATCTTGTACTTGAGTCAAAGTAGAAGTACTCAGATCTTGTACTTTAGTAAAAGTAGAAGTACTGAGATATTGTACTTGAGTAAAAGTAGAAGTACTCAGATCTTGTACTTTAGTAAAAGTAGAAGTACTCAGATCTTGTACTTTAGTAAAAGTAGAAGTACTCAGATCTTGTACTTTAGTAAAAGGAGAAGTACTCAGATCTTGTACTTGAGTAAAAGTAGAAGTACTCAGGTCTTGTACTTGAGTAAAAGTAGAAGTACCAGAGTGTAGGAATACTCTGTTACAGTCAAAGTCCTGCATTCAAAATGTTCCTCAAGTGAAAGTAGAAAAGTATTATCATCAAAATATAGTGAAAGTAGCGACAGTAAAAGTAGTCGTTGTGCAGATTGGTCCATTTCAGAATAATATATATGATGTGTTTTATAATGATTGATCATGAAAGTGTTCTCAAAGCTGGTGAAGGTGCAGCTAGTTTGAATGACTTTGTATACTGCAGGGTAGCTGGTGGATTTACTCCAGGTGGAACTAAAGTCTGATTCAACACTTGGTTATATTTCACATCATTCATCCAGATCTGTGAAGTAACTAAAGGTATTAAATACATGTAGTGGAGGAAAAGTACACCATTTACCTCTGAACTGTAGTGGAGGAGAAGTACACAGTAGCATAACATGGAAATGGCTCGAGTACAAGTACCTCAAAAGTAAATGTGCTTCCCCCCCCCCTCTGTGCAGCTCTTCTGTTTTAATGCAGCCTGTGTTGTGGCTGACAGGAAGTCGCGCCGGTCCGCCCACCGCGGCCCCGACTTCCAACAGGTTTAACTGGAACTGCAGCCTCTGATGTGTTTTTATACGTCCAGAGATGCATGTCTTATCACAGCAGGACCCGTCTCCACACACAGGAGCACAATGGCTTACTGTAAACTGTTAATGAGCAGCCCACCAACATGCCTTCATTATATATATAAGACTACATTTAATTATATTAGAAGAACCACAGTTTTTATTGGGGGAAATTTCCAGTTTCCTGGCCTGAAATCATTTCCATGTCCCGCTCTAAGCTGTGAGAAGTAGCACAGCTGTGATTGTATCCTCACCTCTGCTATCACAGCTTCATCACACTAGTTTTATTTTTAGCTTTTTGTCAGGCAGAGAGAGATCATGTTTACAGACATTCAGTTCAACTACAGAAGCTCTAACTTGTTTTTTCAACGGCAGAAGAACATGACCTTTTTATTCGGCTGCTAATTAGACATCTGTTCTATCATAACTATGCATATCTCGTTAAAGCACGTTTTTCCGGTTATTAGATCAATAAATACTTTAGAATAGCTAATGGTTGATATGACAAAATATGAAAATGCGCTACTTTAAATGGAGTTATGTGTTATCTAGGGTTTTGCACGACTTCTTTATAGATTACTTTATTCATCCTTTAACCGAATGAGGAAGCAAAAAAACACCCAGGAGTGTGTCGCACTTTACAGAAGATGGTTTTCTTCTCAGTGTCTGAGTTTTGTAGCTAAACAAGCTTTTCTTGTTCAGGTTGGGCTGAGTCAGAGACCGTTTCTGCATGTCGGGTCCTCTCCATGTTAGCAGACAGCGCCTCTAGGGTTTACTACAGGGTGTCCGCGCGGTCTTAAAAAGTATTAAAAGTTGATAAATCAATTTAGCGAAAATGAAGGCTATTAAAAAATATTAAAAGGCATTTCCCAAGGTATTACATTTTGTAGCTTGTTTTCAATAAGTATATAAATGGTCCAAAGAGGTTGTATTCTACAGTCTGCCTGAATGTAATCATGGCGTAGGTGTGTAGTGTGATTCTGTGTAGTTTATTTATGGCATCCCGTTGGATTTGACGTCATCTGAACAGGACATCGCACGCTCACTGCTTGATAGCGCGAAGCTCCGTTTACGCCGGTTGCTAAGCAACATCGTTATGGGGAAATGCAAGTCTGCGTCCAAATGGTTGGAAGATAAGGAGGAAGGACAATCAATACTGTATAATATACAGTATTGAGTGTCCTTCCTCCTTATCTTCCAACCAATGTTGTTGACTATATACAGTGTATATAGTCAATGTGAGGTGAAGTGTGTCGCCAAGGTAACCGGTTAAAACTCCAAGTGGCGATGAGGTCTTAAAATGTATGGAAAGGGAAATTACATTTGACTTCAGGATTCCTGCATATACCCTGTTACTACAACTTCAATTTATATAGCCCAATATCAGAAATTACTCATTTGTTTTTCGGGGCTTAACCCTTGCAGTAACAAGGAAAAACTCCCAAAGAATCCCCACAATTAACGGGGGAAATGGTAGAAAACTCGGATAGAGCAACAGAGAAGGATCCCTCTCTCAGACGTTCAAAAGATCTCAGGGTTAGATATAAAAAAAGATGATAAAATATCAACATAGGCAATCCAAATTGATAATGTTAAGTATCTATGTGCAAAGATCAGAGGGTTCAACTGACTAAATATCAGTGAAGCAGTTCAGTCGCTGAATGTTTTCTCTACTGTAGAAATGCTAAACAAAAAACGTATAGGTTAGACATTTTGTTTTGAATATATCCTATTGCTCTGCCTTGTTTATTAACATGTTACATGTGCTGATTCGTAGAGCTTAACCTGTTCAACTAGACACATTTGTTGAATACTTTTGCTGCTTAATTATGTCTTTCTACTTGTCTAAATGTTTGTCTCCTTAGCAGTTTTAAGCGTCTTTTGCTTCTGGCAAAGCAGCAGTTCCTAACTCAATATTTTCCTCTGTTTTGTCAGTCGGGAGAAGCTGTGGATATGTATGGAGTACTGCGGTGGAGGATCTCTGCAGGACATTTATCACGGTGGGTTATATATTACTAGTAAGATGCAGTGCAGTCATAAAGTGGTTTTAAACACTGTGCGAACATTGTTAAATGATTCCTCTGCAAACATTAAATGCAACCGTGTTGTTATAGTGACGGGACCTCTCTCGGAGATTCAGATAGCCTACGTCTGCAGAGAAACCATACAGGTAATTTAAACATTGTTTTAAAAGAATATTTCAATGTTTTTGAATTGAATTAAGTGTTGATTTTATAATTTCCCATGACAGGGTTTGGGATATCTTCACACCAAGGGCAAAATGCACCGTGACATCAAGGTATTATATTATTTTGACTTTGTTTTTTTTTGTCTTTAAGCCTTAATTCATCCCATTGTTCTGTGCCAACTACAGACACTTTGCATCCTGCCAACACATACAGATTAAAGCGGAACTACGCCTATTTTAAAACAGTTTTTCCTATGCTCTAAGATAGTGTTACGGCCTGGCTCATAGGCTGCAACAAAGATGGGAGAACAGACAACTTATGTGTAACAAAAAGCAAAGGACTTCAAAGAAACCTAAGCAAACGTGGAAGTCAGTTATCAGTAATGATTGCGTGTATGGGTGTGTGAAAATGTGCTGAAACAAAGACGCGGCCGTGTCCAACAGAAGAGTGAGAGGGCAGTATGGGTTGGTGTTGGCGCGGCCGTGTCCAACAGAAGAGTGAGAGGGCAGTTGGTGTTGGCGTGGCCGTGTCCAACAGAAGAGTGAGAGGGCAGTATGGGTTGGTGTTGGCGCGGCCGTGTCCAACAGAAGAGTGAGAGGGCAGTATGGGTTGGTGTTGGCGCGGCCGTGTCCAACAGAAGAGTGAGAGGGCAGTATGGGTTGGTGTTGGCGTGGCCGTGTCCAACAGAAGAGTGAGAGGGCAGTATGGGTTGGTGTTGGCGTGGCCGTGTCCAACAGAAGAGTGAGAGGGCAGTATGGGTTGGTGTTGGCACGGCCGTGTCCAACAGAAGAGTGAGAGGGCAGTATGGGTTGGTGTTGGCGTGGCCGTGTCCAACAGAAGAGTGAGAGGGGCAGTATGGGTTGGTGTTGGCGCGGCCGTGTCCAACAGAAGAGTGAGAGGGCAGTATGGGTTGGTGTTGGCGCGGCCGTGTCCAACAGAAGAGTGAGAGGGCAGTATGGGTTGGTGTTGGCCGCGGCCGTGTCCAACAGAAGAGTGAGAGGGCAGTATGGGTTGGTGTTGGCACGGCCGTGTCCAACAGAAGAGTGAGAGGGCAGTATGGGTTGGTGTTGGCGTGGCCGTGTCCAACAGAAGAGTGAGAGGGCAGTATGGGTTGGTGTTGGCGCGGCCGTGTCCAACAGAAGAGTGAGAGGGCAGTATGGGTTGGTGTTGGCGCGGCCGTGTCCAACAGAAGAGTGAGAGGGCAGTATGGGTTGGTGTTGGCGCGGCCGTGTCCAACAGAAGAGTGAGAGGGCAGTATGGGTTGGTGTTGGCGCGGCCGTGTCCAACAGAAGAGTGAGAGGGCAGTATGGGTTGGTGTTGGCGCGGCCGTGTCCAACAGAAGAGTGAGAGGGCAGTATGGGTTGGTGTTGGCGCGGCCGTGTCCAACAGAAGAGTGAGAGGGCAGTATGGGTTGGTGTTGGCGCGGCCGTGTCCAACAGAAGAGTGAGAGGGCAGTATGGGTTGGTGTTGGCGCGGCCGTGTCCAACAGAAGAGTGAGAGGGCAGTATGGGTTGGTGTTGGCGTGGCCGTGTCCAACAGAAGAGGGAGAGAGCAGTATGGGTTGGTGTTGGCGTGGCCGTGTCCAACAGAAGAGGGAGAGGGCAGTATGGGTTGGTGTTGGCGTGGCCGTGTCCAACAGAAGAGTGAGAGGGCAGTATGGGTTGGTGTTGGCGCGGCCGTGTCCAACAGAAGAGTGAGAGGGCAGTATGGGTTGGTGTTGGCACGGCCGTGTCCAACAGAAGAGTGAGAGGGCAGTATGGGTTGGTGTTGGCGTGGCCGTGTCCAACAGAAGAGTGAGAGGGCAGTATGGGTTGGTGTTGGCACGGCCGTGTCCAACAGAAGAGTGAGAGGGCAGTATGGGTTGGTGTTGGCGTGGCCGTGTCCAACAGAAGAGTGAGAGGGCAGTATGGGTTGGTGTTGGCGCGGCCGTGTCCAACAGAAGAGTGAGAGGGCAGTATGGGTTGGTGTTGGCGCGGCCGTGTCCAACAGAAGAGTGAGAGGGCAGTATGGGTTGGTGTTGGCGTGGCCGTGTCCAACAGAAGAGTGAGAGGGCAGTATGGGTTGGTGTTGGCGCGGCCGTGTCCAACAGAAGAGTGAGAGGGCAGTATGGGTTGGTGTTGGCGCGGCCGTGTCCAACAGAAGAGTGAGAGGGCAGTATGGGTTGGTGTTGGCGTGGCCGTGTCCAACAGAAGAGTGAGAGGGCAGTATGGGTTGGTGTTGGCGCGGCCGTGTCCAACAGAAGAGTGAGAGGGCAGTATGGGTTGGTGTTGGCGTGGCCGTGTCCAACAGAAGAGTGAGAGGGCAGTATGGGTTGGTGTTGGCGTGGCCGTGTCCAACAGAAGAGTGAGAGGGCAGTATGGGTTGGTGTTGGCGTGGCCGTGTCCAACAGAAGAGTGAGAGGGCAGTATGGGTTGGCGTGGCCGTGTCCAACAGAAGAGTGAGAGGGCAGTATGGGTTGGCGTGGCCGTGTCCAACAGAAGAGTGAGAGGGCAGTATGGGTTGGTGTTGGCGTGGCCGTGTCCAACAGAAGAGTGAGAGGGCAGTATGGGTTGGTGTTGGCGTGGCCGTGTCCAACAGAAGAGTGAGAGGGCAGTATGGGTTGGTGTTGGCGTGGCCGTGTCCAACAGAAGAGTGAGAGGGCAGTATGGGTTGGTGTTGGCGCGGCCGTGTCCAACAGAAGAGTGAGAGGGCAGTATGTGTTGGCGCGGCCGTGTCCAACAGAAGAGTGAGAGGGCAGTATGGGTTGGTGTTGGCCTTTTATCTCGATGGCCCAGGTGTGCTTCATCAGGTTGATCACCTGAAACACAAACAAGAGCCAGCAAGCAGAACACAAAGGCAGAGACCCCTAGTGGAGTGGAGGGGGTCGTAACAGATAGTCTCAACATATTAGAAATCATGAACCACGCTCTCCCAAATCCCCAAACTAGCATGCTTAACTAATATTTGTTCAAGAAGAAATGGGGAAGCACAGAGAGGACCCAGGGGAGTGTTCTGAGTATATGGGACATGTTCTAAAGATTACTTTGGTACACAAAAGAAAACAAACAGTCGGTGGATAAACAAACATTCATTTTTTGTGAAGCAGCTCAGGATTTTGAATCATGATAAGTTTGAGACTATCTTCTCTGGTTTCTGTCTTTGAGATAAAGCGGCTCATGCTCCCAAATATTATTTAAACATTCCCAGGTCACGGAAATAACATACTGAGATTTGAATAAGAGGGTGGCGCACCTTTTAACAATAAAGTATTCTAGCAACAACTGCAAGTACAGTAAGGGATACAAAGAAAAGACGGATGCACAATTAATCGAATATCAATTGTGATCACGATTTTGGCTTCCCGTATTTAAATCAACAACAATATTAACTTTTTAAAGTAGAAGAGTGCTAAACAAAGAAAATTGACGTTTTAAATGCATCCCAGAGCAGAAGAGTACTAAACAAAGACAATGCACTGGATTTAGATGAAGAATAACTTAATTTTAAGTCTTATTTTGACGCAAAGATTTTAGATTAGCACAAATATAGCACAGCATGAAAGTAAAATCAGTGCTCTGTTGTTTTGGATTTGCATAGAAAATACTGGTAAACAGTTTTTATGGCTTGCTTTTAGGAGATGCATTGTGAAAAGATGCAAATATCAGGGTTCTTACGGTCATTAAAAACCTGGAAAAGTCATGGAAATTCAAAATGATAATTCCAGGCCCTGGAAAAGTTATGGAAAAAATATTTTTCCCAAAGTTTTGGAAAAGTCATGGGAATGTAACTAAAGTTGCATCAAATATATTTTATCTAATCGCCGAAATAGTAATACTATAACGATAATAAATACTGTATCGTATAGTAATGAAACGTAAAATGGCATTTAACTGACGAGGTGTTTTGCTGGTGAGAGATTTTAGTTGCTTTAGCGTGTAGAAGCTTGTAAGCTATTTGATTTGTTTTAGATAGGCACACCATGTTTCATATGCAGACCTTATTTTCCTGTTCCATGTTAAAATAAAACATTTTCAGTGGTACCGCTGAGAAAGAGTAATTTCTTTGGTCATAGAAAATCATTGGTGAAAAGGTGTATGAACCCTGAAAGATATGTACAGAAGCAGCAAGAATGCAAAACATGGAAGTGAAGGCAGTGCAAATTGTCTTCTCAACTTTGATCAAAACAATAGTTTAAATCATTTTAGCCATAATCATGATATAAATATGCATCAAACTACTTATTTTGGCCATACTCGTGCAGTAGAGAGGTGTGAGGTTGACATAAAGAAGCTGCCTTTGCACATGTAGAGGTCTGACGCTCAGAGGTGTGAACTGTAGTCACAGGAAGAGCGTGAGATCATGTGTTACTCGCTGAGGGTGAGCAGGAGTGGATCACACCCGGTGTTTCGCTCTCACACTGGAGCCTAGTGCTATCACAGAAGGTCAGGGCTGGACCTATTATCTGTTCTCGGCGCTACGCAGCGAGCACTTCCTGTTTCCTCTCCTCTCACTGCCGGATGCCACCAGAGAGACTGTCAGTCCCCGGCAGCAGAAACGGAAAGTGTCAGAAAGCTTCAGAGCTGCATCGAATGCCTCACCTGCAACTGAGGCTTCACCTGATTGGGTCTTTGTTATAAACCAGGCTAACATCACTCAGTATATTCAGCCTCACCTGTGCAATTATTCATCTGTGCAATAACACTCAGGATTACAACTATATTACAGCGTGCATTTCAAGTAGCAGTCATATTTTAAACTTTGATATATTTATGAATACTTATACACCACAGTATATATTATACACATTTATAAAGATTTTTTGGATCTCTTTTTAACCAGGGTGCCAACATCCTTCTCACAGACAACGGGGATGTGAAGTTAGGTAAGTTAAATCCTAAATCCCAAGGACTTGAACTCGTCTCCTGCTCTCAGCCGTTTCACGATGACATAATCTGAAAACCCTTTCGATCCCTGTTACAGCGGACTTTGGAGTCGCTGCCAAAATAACAGCCACCATCGCCAAGAGGAAGTCCTTCATTGGAACGCCTTATTGGTGAGTGTGTGTGAGACTGTTGAAGAAGGTTGTGTGTTTTCGTCTCAGGTATTTTTACTTAAAGGTCCTCTATTATACTGTTTTTCAATTATATATCACAGGTCTCAGATATATCCAGAACCTGTCTAGGATTGGCTAAAACATCAAACAGATCATTGCAGCATCCCATAATCCCCTCTGTTTCAGCCCTGTTTCCAAAGTGCTGATTCTGTGTCTGTGACTTTAGATGAAAATAAGGAGCCCCTCCCCACGCCCCTCTGAGAGACATTTGGTTACAAAGAACTCAATGGAGCTCTAGGAGGAGATTCAGGTGATAAGGAGGGCGGGGGGTTACCTTGGTTGCTGATTGGCTAATGGTTACACAAGACAAGACATCTTTATGACATCATAAAGTGGCCAAAATCTGATCAGCTCATTTTCAGACAGGTTTTTATAGAAATGGATCAAAAAGAGAGAATCTTTGTTCCTGAAACTTTCAGAGTCTCTTTCCACAGAGGGGACACATGTTGATGTAGAAGAGACATGAAGAAGAGGGGACACATGTTGATGTAGAAGAGACATGAAGAAGAGGGGACACATGTTGATGTAGAAGAGACATGAAGAAGAGGGGACACATGTTGATGTAGAAGAGACATGAAGAAGAGGGGACACATGTTGATGTAGAAGAGACATGAAGAGGGGACACATGTTGATGTAGAAGAGACATGAAGAAGAGGGGACACATGTTGATGTAGAAGAGACATGAAGAAGAGGGGACACATGTTGATGTAGAAGAGACATGAAGAAGAGGGGACACATGTTGATGTAGAAGAGACATGAAGAAGAGGGGACACATGTTGATGTAGAAGAGACATGAAGAAGAGGGGACACATGTTGATGTAGAAGAGACATGAAGAAGAGGGGACACATGTTGATGTAGAAGAGACATGAAGAAGAGGGGACACATGTTGATGTAGAAGAGACATGAAGAAGAGGGGACACATGTTGATGTAGAAGAGACATGAAGAAGAGGGGACACATGTTGATGTAGAAGAGATATGAAGAAGAGGGGACACATGTTGATGTAGAAGAAACATGAAGAAGAGGGGACACATGTTGATGAAGAAGAGGGGACACATGTTGATGTAGAAGAGACAGGAAGAAGAGGGGACACATGTTGATGTAGAAGAGACATGAAGAAGAGGGGACACATGTTGATGTAGAAGAGACATGAAGAAGAGGGGACACATGTGATGTAGAAGAGACATGAAGAAGAGGGGACACATGTTGATGAAGAAGAGGGGACACATGTTGATGTAGAAGAGACATGAAGAAGAGGGGACACATGTTGATGTAGAAGAGACATGAAGAAGAGGGGACACATGTTGATGAAGAAGAGGGGACACATGTTGATGTAGAAGAGACAGGAAGAAGAGGGGACACATGTTGATGTAGAAGAGACATGAAGAAGTGGATTTTGCATAATAGGTGACCTTTAAAGAAGCATTGGCTAATACTTTTAATCAGATACTGAAACATTTGACCGGTGAACTGTATTGAGTCATTCTCTATCTAACAGAATCTAGTTTGTGGTGGTGAAGTGTTCAAAAGCTTCCCCTAAAACACAGAAGTTTCCCACAGCAGCAGAAGTAAGGCTGTTGACATGAAGTCGACATAAAGGGCGACCACATCGAAAAAAGAAAACTGTAGACATGAAGTCGACATAAAGGGCGACCACATCGAAAAAAGAAAACTAGACATGAAGTCGACTTAAAGGGCGACCACATCGAAAAGACAACCAACATAAAAACGGGTTATCTGCAATTCTATTTGTTTAAATCACTCACACATGGATTACCTTTAACTTTATAATAATGTTCTATGGTCACAGTTGCCCTGTTTATCTCATGTCTTATAAAAGCTTATTCATGATCTATAAAATGTTCACAACCTAATTTAATAAGTGAATTACAAACTATTCGTAAACCCTTTATAAGGGTATTCTTATTGTAAAGTGGTACCCAAGAAACAACAAGTATGCGTTCACAGGTCCTGCTCATAACCATTCATGATTTGGTTTCTAAATAATAGCTATTCCACAGATCAACACCTTTTGTTGTAATGCAATGATGTTTTTAATTTGTTCGTATGGATGGTTTTAAAAAAAAAATGCAGTTTCCTCTCAACGTGTGCATGTATCTACTACATCTACTAACATTTCAACGCTATTTTTGTAGAGTTGTGACAGAGTTCTGCCTCTGAATGTGTGCAGGATGGCTCCTGAAGTGGCAGCGGTGGAGAAGAACGGCGGCTACAACCAGCTGTGTGACATCTGGGCCGTCGGCATCACAGCCATCGAGCTGGCGGAGCTGCAGCCGCCCATGTTCGACCTTCACCCCATGAGGCACGAGACTCTCCTCTAAAAATAATCAGTCCTCAGACGAGGCTACTTTCTCCTCTTGTGTTGCTGTCATATTTCATAACATCTTCTCGATCTTCACTGGTTACCTGTTTCTTTTAGAATCGATTTTAAAGTCCTTTTATTAACTTACAAAGCTTAACATCACCTAGCACCTTCTTATCTCAGCGGCTGCCTTTCTTTTTATGTTCCAACAAGAACCCTTAGATCCTCCGGTGCCCTGCTTTTAGAAATTCCAAGGGTATCACACAAGCCCCCAGGAAGTGCGCCGGACTCTCTGCCAATATTCGTAGTGTCCAAACGGCGGTACTGCAACTTCCGTATCAGTCCGTGACGTCACCCGGCCCAAAACTACTTTTTCCCATTGACTAACATTGGGAAAGAGACGTCTGTAAATCAGTGGATAATTTTTTTTTAACTAAATTAACTACCCAGTATGAACTATCTTATAGCCCTTATTAGAATCATTAGGTCCTTAAAGTTGTAAAATGCACTAAAAGCCGAATCTAGATTTATTTTCTCTCTCCGTTCATTCTAGTGAGCCGAGAGTGAGAGCTCGGGGGCGGGGCTTAAGGGGCGCATGCTCTGTGAGCGCACATACGGGTTCTTCTGCTCTGACAGCCAGGCATGCTGGGTAATCTGTGACATTTCGCTCTCTCAAAAGTTGGGCCATTTTGCCTTCATGCGCCAAGGAGCAGCTCTCGTAGGAAAGAACGAGACCCCGCCTCCGACGCTGTATCCAGTTCTTATTATACATCCATGGTATCACACAAGAGATCTGTTATTATCATTATCATTATTTCTTACACAGTCATCCTGTTTGTATCAAAATACGTTTTAGGCTTTTATTTAAGAGGTTACAGACCAATTAAGGGTCTCTTTACTAAGTTTATTTCCATTTTAACTGTGTCTTCACCACTCTTAATCCAAGTGTTCTTGTTTTGTTTTTTTAGGGCCTTGTTTTTGATGTCAAAGAGCAGCTTCCAGCCTCCGAAGCTAAAAGACAAAACCAAATGGTGAGTGCCTGATGATATTGAGTGTGCTGTTCTGCGACGATGTTAATGATTCTTTACACTTTGTTCAATCTTTGCATTAAATCAAAAACGATCTTGTTCCTCAGGTCTACCAGCTTCCAAAACTTTATCAAAGTGTCCTTGACAAAGAACCCAAAGAAAAGGCCCACTGCAGAGAAACTGCTATCGGTAATAACTCTTATTCTAATTGTAGTTCTCCTGGACTTTGAGTGAGAGATCACAGGATGTCAGACCCCGATCTTAAATGGTGCACTGTTTCCTGCAGCATGTTTACGTGGCTCAGACCGGTTTGACCCGACGGCTCGCTGTCGATCTCCTCGACAAGATGAACAACCCCGACAACCACCAGCACTACAGCGAGGTGGACGACGACGACGTGGAGGTAACCATCAAAAATATCCCCAAGGCTGTTCGAAATTCACCTCTGCTTTGAGAAAATAGGAAGGACATTGACACAACCTACAACAGGGTTAAATTATTATTAAAAACCTGGAAAAGTCATGGAAATTCAAAATGCTAATTCCAGGCCCTGGAAAAGTTATGGAAAACAATATTTGTCCCAAAGTTTTGGAAAAGTCATGGAACTGTAACTAAAGTTGCATCAAATATAATTTATATTTTATCTAATCGCCGAAATAGTAATACTATAATGATAATAAATACTGTATAGTAATGAAAGTAAAATGGCATTTAACTGACGAGGTATTTTGCTGGTGAGAGATTTTAGTTGCTTTAGCAACTTTAGAAGCTAGTAAGCTATTTGATTTGTTTTAGATAGGCACAACATGTTTCAGACCTTATTTTCCTGTTGCATGTTAAAATAAACCATTTTCAGTGGTACCGCTGAGAAAGAGTAATTTTTTTGGTCATGGAAAATCATTGGTGAAAAAGTGTATAAACCCTGTTACAAAGTACTGATAAAAAAGACATAGAAAGCGCTTTAGTATATACAATGATATGAATGTCTTTTTGTAGCTAAATTATAAAGAAAATTCTGCAAAATGATTGAAAAACTATTCCTCCTTGACCGTTATGACTAAATCATGTTGTAAAACAGACGTTCATGCAGCAATCAATCGATCAAACACTATATTTATAGCACTTTTCATAAACAAAAGGAGACACAATGCTGCAAAGTGTTACAAAAAACTAAATAAATACACACAAACAATATAAAAACAATGCCACCCCCCCCTCCTAATCCATAGATAAAGCAAAACATAACTTTAGGCGCGTTCACACCGCAGTACTTTTCCTACTTTAGTTCCGATATAGTTCCGAAATGTCGCGTTCACACCAGAAAGAGCCGGGACTAAAATTAGTTCATCAGAACCTTTTTGACCCCCTTTTCCGTCCCTGCTCTCTAGCAGGGACGGAAAAGGGGGTCAAAAGGTTCCTATGTCTGATTGGCTGGGCGGATTGCAAACCATGCCCCGTAAAACTCCCAAAAAGTTTTGTGAAGCCGCCATTTTATTATCCTTGCATTAGCATTATTAGCATTAGCATTAGCCCAGCGCAGAAAAGCAGAGAGACTAACTTATGGCAACACAAAAGAAAACATGGGAGCGGTGGAGATGAGGAGGGCTTCAGTAGAAGCTGCTGGGAGTCCTTCTACTGAAGCCAGTCCTCAACTCCGGGGACTTCGGGTGGCAGTATACGCCGTGAAGTGGTTTGCGGCCTGCCAGTAAACCCAAAGCAGCAGTAGAAGAAGAAGAAGTGACGTCAGCGGCTTAATTTGCCTAATCCTCCCCCAGGGACTTATTCCGGTGTGAACGCGATCTGTACTTAGTTCATGAGAACTCTTTAGTTCTCATGAACCTTTGTGGGGAAAGTACTGCGGTGTGAAAGCGCCTATTGTCATTAAAGAAAAATGTTTTCATACCAACATAACTCAATAAATACAGGAATGAATAAAACAGGGATTTTAAAATATGCTCTATCAGCAGTCAAGTGCAATACACTTATTTGCATTTACTTTTGTTTGGCCTTAGGATGGCGAAAATTGGATGACCATTTTAGTTTTCATTTCATACAGCTCTGTAAATTGCATGACATTTTGAGTTGTTTTGTTGTATGTTTTGTGTGTGAGGACCCCAGGAAGAATAGCCAATGCTCATGCTAGTGACATAAATGTAATATTAACCTTTCATTAAGAAAGCTTAGCAATAAATGGATTAAAGGGGATCTTTGTTGATGTCAAAGCTCCCCTCCCCCTCTTCTTGATTCTCTGCATGGACAGTATTATTCCTGCTCACATGTATGTGGCAGCCAAAGAGGTGGTACCAGTGCCTTGAGGAGACCATTGTGCCTTTCTCACACTGACAGCAGTAGCACTGTCTTGGCCACTGGGAATGAAAGCAGAATGAAAACTGTTGACTGAAGCAAAAAGCCTCTGGTCTGCATGATAATGTGACGATGCAGGACAGAAAGTAGCTCTCAGTTCTGCTCTAACGTCATACGCCAGTTTCAGGACTAGTTTCTACAGAATATGTCTAAATATGAATGTAATAGCTGGACTAAATAACTCGAGGCAATGCATGGTATAACACCGTGATTGTCAAGTGCTCCTCCCACCGTCAAAATGTTGCATTATTTTTTACGGATATTTCATAAAGCATTCACCCTAACCACAATGAACCTGTCTCTTCATTACTATCCAGTTGTGACACACATTGTAAAAGAGAACAAAGAAAGAAAGACATACATGAACAAGATGCCAATACAAAAAGAAGGGGAAGAAATTGTGAAATTAGCTCAGAAATAATGTATTATTACTTATTTACACCCTAAAAAAAGTCAATTCTGCCAAAAATACTTGACAAAAAGAGAATTAATCAACTAAGTTCGCCTCTCAAAGTACAAACTCGTGTTTTTACATAAAGCTGTCAAATTAAAGCATTATTCATTATGTTTTCCATGTGTTACCGCTTGCTTAAATTCTGCCCAAAAGATCTGTGTTCAGTTTACTTGCAGCTTAAAAATCATGTAAATTAATCCATTAAATAAATATCCTTCATAATTGTAATAAAGGATTGTTATGAACCTGGTTTAGGCTGTACTTTCTTTGTTTTCTTACCTGCAGAAAACAAAGATTAAAGTCTTGTTGCAGGTAGTAGTTATATGTAATCAAACCTAAACACCATCTCTCTGTAGTGTAATGTATGTATTGCCAAAAGGAATACATGACATTGCAATCATGATAATGTATACAGTGATGGCATTTGTTTTTTTAAGCTGGTTTAGCAATTTTTTTTGCCCCTAGATTTCTCAAACATACTCCCATAGCTCCTCAATAGAAAAACATATTATTGTTTTTATTTTCTGTAGCTCAGAGATCGTATTGTTGTTAAACTTTGTGATTCATATGTTGAATAAAATCCCTTCCTCTCCAGCCCCTCTCTGCAGTCAGACACACGATCCGCTCCACCAACAAACAGGCCCGAGCTGAGAGGACGCGCTCAGAGATCGACTGTAAGTAACCACAAACCCCGCCCCCTGCAGTGTATCTGTCCTCTGATTGGTCAGTCGGCAGAAGTCCGGCTGACTGTCAGACTGTAATCCTGCAGCACAGTCTGGCCCGTCTTCAAACCACCGCATGTGGTAATGTGGATAAAAATAACCCGGGGATTCACGGAGGAGAAAGTGGATTTAGTGGAGTCCATTAAGTTCACTCGCCCTCTTTTTTACTGAATGAATTATGTGTAGAGCTGGTCCAAACAAGTCACTATGCAGGGGAATTTAGTATTGATGCAGCATAAGAGATTGTGTAAACGTGTTGTGTAACGTTATGTGTCGTCAGTAGTCGTAGATTAAGTTGTAGTTTTAGTGTGACGTATTAACAATCCAGAGGTGAGATATGTGACATTGTTTTATCAATCCATAGAGCTACACGCTTCCTTGTGTTTCGTGCTGTGATTGTACCCGATGCACTTCCCGTTTGTAGTTATCTTTTATTTCTCACGATACCGTCTTGACTTTCCCTCCTCCATGAAGCAAACAATGGGACAGACCCAGGAAGGCCTTGCTCAGGTCCTAGCTTCTCGCAGAGACACAGGGGGCAAGCAGGTCAGTGTAGAGAGACTGTGTGTCTGCATAATCCCCTCTGAAATAGCCTAATATCCCCCCCCGCACATAACGGATAACTGTGTGTGGGATTGTAGTGTCACTAATAAGGTGAGTTCCTCTGCATGGGGTGGATACTTACAGCTGTGACATCTTGGTTTCTGTCAGAAATTAAATAACAAAGTGTAGCACCTTTTTCTGGAAGGAAGGCGCTGAGGAAAAACGCTCGCAGTGTTTCTTTAATTAACGACATATTTACCGTTGTTGTATGACAGACTAGTTTCGCCCCCTTGGATTTTACCATATGTTTGGGCTACTATATCATTTTTTACATGAGCACCAACGTGAAGATGCATGCTCTGACACACTTTGTATGAACGAGCTTCCCCACTCAGTCTGAAAGCCTGAGAGCGAGGAAGTGGGTCAATAATGTCACATACTCTCAGACAGCATCACTCTGGCCCAATTCCAAACCGACCCCTACACACTCCCGAACTGAACTCGCTCTGTAGTCACTCTCTCAGCTGAATGAGGCTTCCTTCTTTCAGGTAGAGGGTGTAAATTCAGCAGCAAGCTTTGGGGCTTACTTCCCTCTCTCAGGCAGAAATAAGAACCGTCAGAACTTTACATCTCATGGACAAACATTTTTAAATATTAAGGCGAGACACCCCAGGTGAATAGGGTAATTTTTTTAACTTAAAGGTATCAGCTAGAAATTTCTCCAGTTAATTACTTACAATAAGGCAATTGTCTCTTGTATTACAAGTTTTCTGAAATAGCATGTTTAAATATGCAAATTAGCCATTATCTCATTAAATATACACATATTTTAACACATTTCAGGAATCGAAATCTGAACCTTGGATAAAACCAGGTTCAAAATTCTTGTTTCATTTTGTAGTCATATTAGTATCTAAGGCTTTTACAGAAGGGATATTGGATATCTCTTTTTATCACTCCATAAATCAGAAAATACTGTCAACAGCCCTAAAATATCAATTTTCGCCATGTTTTTAGGTATACAATGTTGTATAATTCAGGCTATGAATGATATATGAACAAACCCTTCTGTAAAAGCCTTCATAATATTGATAGGAATATAACTGGAAGGTTTGGTGTATGTACGTGCTACTGAAGTGGACATTTCGAACTCAAGAGTAGGAGAAAAAACTAATTTTGAGAAAACGACCTTTAAAGATTGCAGTGAGGCGCTAGCTAAACCCTCCTGTTCTTTGGATGACAGCTTGCGCATCGACGCACTCCGTGAAGGTATTTCATGTTCGGGGTCATTTGTTTTTTGTATAACCTTGCTTCGTGCAAGTGACAATTGTTGTCGTCTTCTCTGTGAATGTTTTTTTCGCCGTTCTTTTGCCATTTTGAGATTTCAATTTCTAGCGGAAAGCTAACCAGGAAGTGTTTTAGCACACCACGTGACGCATCTGAACGAATCACGTTGTCAGAAATTGACACCAGCCAATGAGATTTTGTTTATTGGTTTAAGACCCCTTTGTGCTTTCACGATTGGTTGCTGATACAAAGGAAATGACCATATTTGGATCTGATGAGATTGTGCAGGAGAGACACAGCTTTCCAGCGATACCTCTGTTGACATGGTGCACACAGCGGTCGCGGTACTTTATGTTACGTTAGAATGCTAACATTTGGTGAATTTAGGAGAAATCTACAGACGCAAATAGACAAACTATAGTAAAATAAACACTTAAATGTGTATTTTGTACGTTTTCCTTCCAAAAGCCTGAAAGAAAACATGTTATAGAATCAAAATAGCTCAAAATTGACCAGTACTTGAAAAACAATGTTTTTGCCTGCCGTGTCTCGCCTTAATTATAATAAAACTCAAATTTCAAAAGATTCAAATCTGATGCTTAAGAGCTGCTCTGTTTTTGCAACTGTCCCTGTGAATATAAACCTATTGCAACAGCACTTAGCCAAACCACGCCCTACACCCTACCCCTACACACTCCCCCTCCGTGACGTAGTGAACGCCGTGGAGTGACACTCACAGCTCAACGAGGCTCCCTCCTATCAGATGGAGTAAACACAGCAGCAAGCTTTGGGACGGCCTCCCCTCTCGCCGGCAGAAACAGGAAATGCCGTAACTGTGTAACAACGCTTTCAAATCAGCATCTCTTAGACAAAACATGTAAACTAAAATAAAACTCCAAACATCTTTAATTGTGTTGCTTTTTTGTAAATCTCTTTTAGTTTTAAACCTGATGTTTATAAGCTTCTTAGTTTTTTGCAACAGTCTGTAAATATACACAACTTTATAATAAAATGCACACATTTACCTTTTTCTAGACTAAACACGGGTATGATCATAAGTTAAAGACATATGAGGTTATCATGAGGTTGTTAACATCACAGTTTATCAGTGGATGTTTGCTGGAACTACTTGTTAACAGCGTGTTTCCTGACGGACACACACAGCGTGACTCCGGTCAGGTAGAGACCGGACTCCAGTCGGCACCGATGCAGACTCGCTGTTTGAGGGCTTGATAGCCCACTCCGCTCCACACTCGTTGGTTTGGAACAGCACGGACCCTCCGCGCAAACGGAGGGGTAGGGTGTAGGGTGTTGGGCGTGGTTTGGGATTGGGCCTGAATGTGGCAGAACCAGAAGTGAATTAGGAGGAAGGTTGTAGCGGTTAGATTAGAATTGGGCCTTAGTGTGGCAGAACCAGAAGTGAATTAGGAGGAAGGTTGTAGCGGTTGGATTGGAATTGGGCCGATCTGCTCCAACAAAAAAACCATTTTGTTCTTCGTTATGATAAAACAAACTTATCTTCCAATTACTACTGTGACGTCATGAGGGCTTTTCTTGTTATCTAAGATTTGTTGAGCCACCCTTGCCTTTGTTGTAGTCAGTTGAAACAGGCAGCTAATGGTCCCGAGGAAATACATAATTGGGAAGTTATCTGAGCTGTTCATTGGAAACAACTACAGAGAAGACTCCGAAAGAGGCGCGATGTGGACACGAGCCCTTAGATGACTAATCAGATCCTAACAGGGTCGTTTAGTTTCACTCGTACCTCCATCTTTACTGCCTGCTATCTGCGTTTTGAATACTGCAGCACCCCGACATTATCAGCATACCTCAAACAGGAAAACAAACCTGTGGTCTGAATCCCTGAATACAGAGTCCTTTTGTTAATGAAAGCTGATTATGTTGAAGTATTTATTGGCAGGTTGGTGCATTTCTACATCACTACAGCAGCGTGTTTACACTCATCCTAAACCAGTCTGCTCAACTGTTTGACAGAACAGGACCTCAAACATAAACTGAACGGAAACTGTGCCGTGATTTATTTTTATTTCTGCGTCTCACAGTGAACAGATCTGGTTAGTGTCGACTGGAATCTGTTTGAGATTTGTCTTACGCCCCAGATCAAATATTCACATAGTAGAATCATAAATAAAGAAAGGACTTGTGTGTTTTGGCAGGTACATTGTAAAGGAAGCAGTTCATCTGAGTGTTTTCTAACGCTGCTGCTACTAAGAGTTCAAGTGTGTGTGTGTGTGTTGAAGTGTTGTGCACTGATGCCCTCTAGTGGTGTGCAAGAAATACAATTAAATAATAATGAACACATATGTTGGTCTTTTACAGTCGACAAGCTCCAGTTTGAACCCCCGCTCCGGAAAGAAACCGAGGCTCATTCTGAAATGGTGACAGTCATATTTCTAATAAATACTTCTATGTACTTTGGGTTGAAGGCAATTCATTTAAAGTGTAGATTTATGATTTATAAAAAGGCAGTTTAACAATAAATACATCTATTTGTGTGTCTTTCCACAGGATGTGAGTAAAGAGAACGACTTCTCTTCCCCCTGGAGTCCCTTTGCAGACGGAGGAATAACAAGCAGGTAATCACGGAAACGGTTGCCTCTGTTTCTCTACCTGTCTCATTCATTAGAGCGATGCACCTCTGAGACTCTTCCACAGAAAGGAAACACAGTGCATCGTTAAGGATGTGTTGCTCTCGTACTTCTTTGGATTGTGTTTGTGCTTCGTATATTAGGATCAGTTAAATGCAGAGCCAATATTTCCTTGTGTGTGCTTTGCTGTGTGCATGTTTTGATGATAAGTAATTAGTCAAGAAAACTCCTGGTGAATTTCTTCCTCAATCTGACAACATGTACCCCTCCCTACACTCACCAGGAGAGCTTTCTTGACTAATATAATTAATTCTGGGGGTTGGAGCTTAGACTTTCCCACTTTTATTTTAAGGACCACCCTAGTGTGCATTATACGATAAAAAAACGACAGAAAACAGGGAGAGATTACTCTGAGCAGCATGCATGGAACATCTAAAATATTATACTATGACATATTTGATTTTATTAAAATAAATTATGAATAATACACTTTATTTGTAGAGAGCTTTTCAAGGTACTCGAACCCACTTTACATATAGATTTAGAAAATCCATAAATAATCAAAGGTAATAGTGTTAGTAGTGGTAATAGTGGTAGTGTTAGTAGTAGTGGTGGTGGTGGTGGTAATAATAATAATAATAGATTTTATTTCTATAGCGCTTTTCTTAAACCCAAAGACGCTTTACATTTGGGAGGGAGGGTAGACAAACAAAACCAAAAAGAAACAGAAACAAAACGGTGGTGGTGGTGGTGGTAGTGGTAGTGGTAGTGGTGGTGGTGGTAGTGGTAGTAGTAGTGGTGGTGGTGGTGGTGGTGGTGGTAGTAGTGGTGGTGGTGGTGGTAGTAGTAGTGGTGGTGGTGGTAGTGGTGGTGGTGGTAGTAGTAGTGGTGGTGGTAGTAGTAGTAGTAGTGGT